TGGAATAATGGCAGATTTGCGTAAGAAAAGAGCCATTTGTGAATTCCCAAACCTGAATTCAGTCCAAGGTGTTTTCTTAAAATGGTCAACCAACCAGCAAAATTGTTATCGAATTTAGAGCAAATTGCTGAATCTTTAAGGCAATGTTTGAAGGAAGCACAAATGTGGTTTTGGAACCCATAGCAGGACCAGCTAATAGATGACTCAATCACAGACATGGAGTCAGTCCTTTCTCAAGTACAGAGAAATGGACGCTGAATAACAGGCGACTAAATATCTCGAGCATTATCAGACACTAACGAGATATGCAGTCATAGAGAAGGAATCTTTCACAGCCACATGACAGAAATTCTGACTACGTTCAATGAGATTTGATTTTGAAACGGTGTATGCACAGGGTAAAATACAAATAACAGCAGATACATTGGATAGTGCCACAGAGTAGTATGTGAACTTTATTGATTGAAATCAATTCAAACTTTCAGAAGACAGCAAAACAATGGCCAGCAAGATGAAGACTGCACCTGAATTTACCAATATTGCATGGAAGGTTGGCTAGAACAACATCCTACCGGTAGAGTCATGAAACAAGGGGGACTGTGCTACTATCATGGAGGACATACTAGTATACAGCAAGAGGCTAATAATTCAAGTCTCATTCTGAGTCTCACTCTAAACTAAGAACTGTACTTTGCAGCCAGCATGACACTGCAGGATCTAGAGTTGCTGCGGTACCAACATAGTCAGGGAGGGTCTCTAGACCTGCCTGAAGTGCTGTGTGGCATATTCCTGTTGGGAGACTGCAATTGGCTCGAGAACAAGCCCCTGCCCACCACCTACAGGAATCTGGTGGCTGACTGAGGTCAGTCAATCTCCATTTATGTCTACAGACACTCTGTGAGCCAAGATTGGCTACTCCAATCTTAATGGGGCAACCCTGCTTCATCTCCGTCGCACCTCATGAAGAATGGCCTTAGTGACAGGATGGAAACTGGGAACCAGCATTTTCATTGGCTCCAGCAATTCCACCCCTGACCTCAGTGTTACCTAAAAATCAACCACTTGGCAGGTTCAGTGGAACTCAGTTTAATAAAACTTGTGTCAAGTAACACATGGAATAAGTAAAAGGAAATTGGAAATCTTAGTTTGTTTGACTCAGTGTCAGTTCCATGGGTATTGGAGGGTTTTTCACCATGAGGCCTAATGTGTTTTCTTGCTGTATTTTACCAAATTCATTACCCCATTGATTACCTACCTTTCTCACCTAACCAAATCATAATTTCATTTTACAAAATACTGTGTCCAGAACAGTTCATCACTGATGAGAAATCCTGGAATTGACTAGCATTGCTGGCATCAGAGCTGTCTTTAAAAGGTCATTGTGTTACCTAGACAAGCACGGTCAGTCTGAAGCTGCCCTTCACAGCTGTTGACATTTGTCCCAGACATGGAAGACAAGGGAAGTGTGGCACTCCACTTGGCGGGCAGGGTCCTGGAGCTCCTGCTGGATGGGGTAGCATGCAGGCAGAACTTACTTTCCCACAGGACCAGCAGTGGTGGCCATGAAATCAAACCATATCAGGCTGATCTGAGATTGCCACCCAGGTATTTGCAGTCTCATCCATTTAGAGGAATACCTAACCCTGTAGGACAAAGGTCAATGCCCTTCTCTATTCCGCCACCATCTTCCCTCCGATACCTCACCCTCACTATCTCTACTGCTGTACTCACTCCCACCAAGACTCAAGCTCTACCACTCTCACTATTGCCTGATAGACTTTCCTTCATTTACCCTCATCCACCTCAACCCTTAACACCACTACCCCTGCATGCCTTCCATGCTGCATACTTACTCGCTTGGGCCACCCTCCTACCTGCAACAAAAATACCAATCATGCCACCCACTTTCATCTTCCTTAATACCTGTCTCTGTCACTTAAGGAGGAAAACAGGGCAGAAAGAATCAAGATTGGTGGTAGGTTGCCCAACATTCAACTCCTGTGGCTGACTTGACTGTATTCAAACCCCTAAACTGCTATCAAAAGCTGCCCTTGACTGACTGTATCGGGACCCCCTGAGCAAAGGCTTATCTTCTTTGATTTGTTTGAGAATTGCTGACAACCAGGACAAGCTTCCTAACTTTGTCTCTGCGCTCAACAGCACAGCAATACAGCAGTACAGTGATATGGCTATCTCTGGCTGAGGGGACAAAGTTAAAAAAGGTAAGGCAATGAATGGCAGGGACGTTCTGAGCATCAATACAAGCTCAGTGAGTGAGTGGGCACTAAGAGAACAAGCACTCAGGTCAGAGATGCAGCCTGGGCTAGTTTATGAACTGGGCGTGTACCCTTGAATGCGAAGTGTCCTTGCAGCAATGTTAAATCCACAAGCCTACTGTAGGTGGAGTTGAAATGTACCATGAGAGTTCTTTAAAGCTGCTACATGTCAGATGCCAATATCAGTGGATATGGGGTGAGTGTGGCTGGTGCCCATGAAGTGTGTCCTGAGAGGTTGCTCCAGTATGGAGATCTTATGGAGCAAGTGGTACCGACTCTGATTTCAATACAGAATTTTTGGTATCTACATTGTTTGGGTGTTTGGTAAGATTACGAGCTGAATATTCGTGTGGCAAGTTGTTACATTTATAATCTGTACTTAATAATCCCCTTAAACTGGAACTGACTGCTACCTAGGACAAAACTCTCCTCACCATCCAGCAGACGCTTAAAATAAGCAACAAGTCACTCATGATGTCAAGATAGACCTCACCGAACCTCTTGCATGAGTTTGCCACAAATCTCGCCATTGCCGACATCTTTGAGACTCTTATAAGATTCATTAACTGTTTTCATTGCAGATTCCAATTAATTAGCACTAGACCGAAGAAATCAGATTAGTTCAGAATCCGCATGCAATCACAAAAATGTTTTCAGACAAATCTTATGTAAAGGTCCACATTACAAATGTTTTGTAAATATGTGATACTGAAATAGTCAAGTGGACTGATTGCTTCCAATACTGCATGCAAAAAGAATGGCTGAGGACAAACTATTGTCAATCAAAAGCATTAATTTATAATAATTTTGCTTACCTACCGAGCAAAATAATACTTGTTTTGAAGTAAATGTGCCATTTCAATATGGCTTAGTGGCTTGACAAATACAAAGTGGGAGGTCTGATTTGAAAAGCTTAAATATTGCATTTTACAGTTTTCTATAAAGCATTCCCTTCTGCTTTTCTCCTGCTGATCACAAAATGCAATATATTTTAGGTTGTGTTTATATTGTAGCTATAGGTCTGCAGCTACTGGCTAGAGAATCAATTCTAGCTTGGCAGAACCTGATTTATGCTGATGAACTCAAAATGAAATTCCCAGATCCTGGCCCTGGAGAAAGTTCAGTCCTAGCAAGCGTAGAGTTCCACTACGGTCTGCTAAATTTTAAATGATTTGGAAGCAGAAGCAGGAACTTTGTCATTTGTGAAACAGTGCTGTGTAAGTTTATAACATACATGGAAGATGTAAGTCATCCCACTTTTTAAAATGAAGTAAGCCTTTCCCCTGGAGTTTGAATTAATTAATGCCAAACATACGCAATACAAAACCTGTCTTCTGCAAGTAATCTCCTGACTTTCTCTCCAGTTTCTGGGAAGAATTTAAGTCTACAGTTATTTCCAGTTATTTAAATGTAGAGATTACTTTCCAGAAAGTGGCAGTTTCACAGCATTCTTAAAGGTGTTGCTCTTTTTATTGTAGTGTTCATCTACTAATATAAATATTCAGTATTAATTTCACTCCCAGCACAGTGATAAAATGTATGGTATCATTCCAATAATTATGTTAAACTAAATATTTAATGACATTTCAACTTCTAGAAGACTAAAAAGGACTTTTGTTTAAAATGTACTTGCATGGTGTTAAAATTTTGTCTAGTAGGGTGTCAAAAACAAAGAAAGCTAGAGTGTCAATTAAAAAAAGACACATTTGTCTTTGAAGCCTGTATTTGCCTCTTAAGAATATTTGAGGATAAACAGCAGATTTTTGTAAGCTTTCCACGGATGATGGTCTTTTAATTACAATCCCCACTGTTTTAAACCTGGTGGTTACTATTGATCAGAAAGTGAATTGGATTTGCCTGGGCAACTGCTGGTATAGACTCAATGGGCCGAATGGCCTGCTTCCGTACTGTAGGGATTATATGATTCAATCCTATGCTCCAGAGTCTATTATCTAAAACACAAAATGGTGTTAAGTCATCAACCAGTTAACTATTTTGAAACATATGAAAGAGGAAGAACTATTGCCAGTAGACCACCTATTTAAACTTAATAGCACGTTGTAATCTTTAAAATGAAAGTTAATCGATATCACACTGTTAAACTTTGAATCAATCTTTAACAACATAAAACATGTCTGAGATCTATTGTGCTGCAAGTCCATCTCAAGAAAATGCAATGCTTCTGTATCAATATGAAAACCAATACAAATTCTCTCAAAATCATTCTGAAGGAAATTTTACATTTCAGCTCTTAGCTACTAATGTTTGATGTTTTCCTCTTTGGTTTAGGATTTATATTTTTTATTTCATAAAAAGAATAATCCGCACAAATTTTTAAAAATTACAGTAACGAGGAAATGAAAGGGATTGACAAGCACTAAGCTCAATTTTCCTATTTTGTCATTTTATATTACTTGATTTCCATTCTTTAGAATCTTTGAGGATTCCTGTGAATAATGCTTCACAAATAACTCTTAATGCATACAAAAATATATTTTGCCTCAAATGCCCAGAGGAAAATACGGGCCTTAAGTGTTTGCAGTATGCTTTTCTGACTAAAAACCAGAATTCATTTATACAAGTGACAAAAAGTAAAATAAATCAGGGAAGTGGACCATATGAATAGGAATTCAGAAAAACATGGTGTGAATCTCACAGTAAAACACCTGAAGGTTTTTAACTTCCTTACAACTGATATCATGAAGCAAGATCACCAAAGAGCCATTTACGAAAATGTTGCTTTATTGTTTTAAGTTATCAGGTTTTAATGAACAGCAGATTGCTCACATGCATGGTAACAACAATTGTATGAGTCTCAGTACAAGAGGGGTTGCTTGTCAGTGATTTAACATGGAATGTTAAACAAGAAATTAGAAAACACTGACTAGCACTTTACAATAAACAGTTCTGGTGAAAGAGAACATCACTGTTTCATGCGCCTTTCTTTATGGATAAACATCAAGTTTATTTTTAAACCACCGAGAAATCCTTACTAGTAGCACAGGTGACTCTTAAAGATTGCACTGCTGAGATGCACCTAACAGCCAAAAGAGGTGTCAGGCAACAACTTCACACTCTGGTATTCTGAGCACAAATTAGTGAGCTTTCTCACTTCTTTATTCAAAACTTGAAGGCTTTACAAAGGCTTTTGCCTTTACAAAATAAATGCAACTTAAAATGGTTAACTTTTGAACTCTGAAGTAATTTGGTTCAGTTATTGGAAAGACACATAAATCTTCTGCACCAAATAAATAGTTACATGCACACTATTTGACAACTTGTAACCCTCTTCAGCGTCATTGTGCATTCTAAGCAAATATAAAGTTTCAGTGCAAACGCCATTATAGCTAAAGTAATAAACAAAACTTGAATTCATGATGACCAAGTCAAACCTTAAAACCATAGTTTTAGAACTTCTTATGTGATATAGTGATAAGCTATTTACAAGATCAGAATAATATGGTTTGGTGAATGCTGATTTTTGTGGCGCTATATTGGCGAATACCTTTATTATTTGTTGACTAAATATTAGTCCAGCACAAAGCACATTTACTATAGGTTTCATAATACTGATAACTTCACCTCAAAAAGTACTAAATAGTACTACAATCTCTATCACAGCATTTTTAAAAAAAATCTCATTCATACCAAGGATAATTTTACTACGGCTTAGCACAAATTAGCAATCATTCTTACCTTTCTCAAAAAAAAACAGTATCCTACCCGGATATAAAATTATTCATATCATATGATTGAACAATGGAATTTGATTTCCCATATTTACACAGATATTTAAACGAACACATACACATCAGATAGGGTGCATTCTCAGACAAATGCGACAAATCATGACAATATTTAAGAATCATCACCATGCAACATTATTCCAGAATGCTCTATACTTACTGTCCATTGGGGTCTCCTTTAAATAAAGATGTTTAAAGAAAATAACTGATCATTTTGTTAAAGGACTATAAAATATTGATTTGATCTAATTGTACAAAGATCATACATTACTTAAAATTCCCTAAAAATGATTCACAATTTTGACTGTTTTTTTTTTACTTGATGAAGTTCCACTTTATTCAGCTGAAAACATTTTTATTTACAAAAGAAGTCAAAACTGGGAAAACATGGGAAAAAATGTTCAGTCAAATTTGTGATTTGACACAAAGTTAGGTAAAATACGAAATGTTCACACAGAAAAGAAATATATGCAAATACATTGAAAACTGTTTTACCAGATAAATAATTGCAGATATAGAATGAGAAGTTTGATACATGTGAATAGGAAAAGTGTTGCTGTGGTTTCAGATTTTTATGTCCAGAACTGAATGATCTCATTGTATTAGACCAAGACTGTGACAGAGATATTTTGTTCTGAATGGAGAAAAACATAAAAAAGTGTAGGAAGGTATCTTGGAATGTTATTTCTGGGCTGAGATAATATTTAAAAATATCAAATGAAAATGGAGATTAGAAGGAATATTTTGGCAAAATGCAAGAATGTGGTTAAAAATGTATAAGATCAGCAAAACTTTGTTACAGTAAGGATTCATAAATTTTTCAGCTGGATTTTTCATGAATTATTTTACTGGAGTGCATATCCTCAAAAAGAAGAGCCTTTGCATGGTTTTCTATAAAAGGTGAGCCACTGAATTATTAGTTGAAATTGAGCATAATGCATAACTACTTGGTACCAACATCTGGAGTGCACTTCCAGAAAAATAATGTATCTATTCATAACTGTAGAAATGAGGCAATGTCTTAAGTTTTAGACCAGGCTAGACCTCAAGGTCATCTGGTCTTGGCCTGCTACTCCCTCGGCTGCTGGTTCTACTAGGTGGTCTCTGCTCCCTGAGACCAACAGGCTGCAACTCTGTTATTGATGGTGACTTTTGTATGGTTGGATGTTCACCATGATAATCAAATGCCTGTGCATGGGAGTTGGAAATGGTGCTACCAGCCTGACCAATCCTGTTTTGTTCGGTGCTGTAATTTGCCCAGTTCTGTTCATTAGCTTGCTTATTATAGCTTCTGCAGGAGGACATATTCCTGTCCCCAGTAGCAAGCTTGTATCCAGGAGGGGACATGGGAGCAGTTGGTGGGGAGCACCCGTTATAATAGGCATACTTTGAAGAGGATGAGTCTTTGAGAGGATTCACGCCCATTTTTTGAGAACCCTGAAATAAGTGGCTATTTTGCTTAACGCGATCTGCTAATGTTTTGAAGATAATGTAGAACAGCTCTACCAGGTTCAGCACAGCTGAACCAACGGATACCACCAACATGAATATGATAAAGACAGTCTTCTCAGTGGGCCGCGAGAGGAAGCAGTCTACTGTGTGTGGGCATGGATACCTCTCACAAGCATAAATTGTATCCAGCATGAACCTGAAACCGTAAATGCACCACTGAATTAAAATGAAAGTCACTTCAAAAATTATTTTAAAGATAATACTGACTGCATAAGTATGCATAAGAGATCCTTTGATTTTAATTTTGCCTTGTTCCTCCACACCATATTTGATTTTCTTTAGTTCTAATTGTTTCAAGGCAAGGCTGACATCTTCACCTTCTTCTTGGAGTATCTTTAAATATTTTTCTTTCTTAGATAATCTTTTTTCTTTATGAGAGACGATAAAGACATGGATTAGGTACACCAGAGTGGGTGTTGAGACAAAAATAATCTGAAGGACCCAGAGTCGAATGTGGGAGATGGGGAAGGATTTGTCGTAGCAGACGTTCGCACAACCTGGTTGCTGAGTGTTGCAGCTGAAGGCAGACTGTTCATCTCCCCAGGCGGATTCCACGGCAGTCCCCAACACCAGGACACGAAAGATGAAGAGCACGGAAAGCCATAGTTTACCTCCTGGAGTCAAGTAAGACTGCGCTTTAGTCAGTACTTTTGCCAGGAAACTCCAGTCACCCATCCTGCTTTAAACTTAGCTGTAAAGAAACAACAACAATGTATCAGAAGAATTCAAACTTGTTTCCGACATTTGTTCATTTTAAAACAACGTTTACTTTCTGTACCTCCTTTAATAAAACTCTTAGTTGCGAGCTTATGGGGAGAAAGCAGGATTAAGCTATTGAGTTGGACAATCAGCCATGATCATGAAGAATGGCAGAGCAGGCTCAAAGGGTCGAATGACCTCCTCTTGCTCCTATCTTCTATGTTTCTATGTTTTTCTGTGGCATAACTGTTCTTTATTCACCACGCTATGTTTAGAAACTTCATTTAACACCAGAAATATTTTATGTACAAAGCTGTTTTAATACACCAAGTACAAATGTTGTGGTTACCAGTTACAATATGAGATCAGGTAAATCAGTATTTTAAAGATAATGGTTTTTGTATTTTAAGATCAAATCCCTTGCCTAGTACAAAAGTTTAGAAGTCACATCACACTCCAAATAATTGAAACACTTCAATATGTCAAATCAATTAAGAATGAAATAAAATAATAGGATAATATACATAGTGTTTTGATAAATGTGGGTAAGGAAGTTAATGCCTAGTTAGCTGACAAATATAAAATGGTGCAGTACTCTGGTAACTTTTCATAGTTGTGCCATTTCATGTTAAAGAAGTAAAAAGCTGATGTTGCAATGATGGATTTTGATGGCTATTCCATTGTAAGCAAGTGGAAGGGGTTGCAAAATACTTTCATTCAGACTGCCTATTTTATTCTACACAACAACTTCATTACTTGTTCAAAACTACCTCTGAGAGAAAGGTGGATGGTGATGAAATGGTAATGTCACTTGTTCAAATCCCACAATGACAGCCAGTGGAATTTAAATTCAGCTAATTGATAAATGTGGGATTGAAAACTAAACTCAGTAATGGTGACCAAGAAACTATCACGAAATGTCATTAACATCCATCTAGTTCACTTGTGTCTTTTAAGGAAAACAAAATCTGCCATCCTTATCTGGTCTGGCCTAAGTGACTTCAAGCCACAACAATGTGGTTAACTCTCAAACACCCTCTGAAATGGTCCAATGAACCACTCAGTTCAAGGACAACTACAAATGTGAAACAAAGGCTGACCTTGCCAGCAATACCCATGAGAGAGTATTTTTTTTAACATCAAATCAAGTATTCTCTTATTAATAAACAGGCACAACCTCATATGCAAACAGTTATCATGTTTTCCAATAATGCTGAATATGCCCAATTCATTTGTTCAAAGTTTTGCAACATAGTATGGAAATAAAATAATTTGAATACAGCAGCTTTTCCTAGTTTATTATGAAATCATACCAGAATTGAGCCTGACAATTACTAAAGCACTAACAAACCAGCTCAGAGACAAATCTTACAAAAAGAGATTTGGAGGCAATTTGAAGACAGGTTTCCTAACACACAGGGCCATTTTGGAAGGCACAGAAAAGAAGATAAGCAAAATGAAGTCTAAGAAAGGAAAGGTGATGAAGAATAATTTGAATATTACTGAAGAAGTGTAATTAAGAAGATAGTAGCATAGCGGTATTGATACTAGATTGGTTATCCAGTGAGGCTGGAACCAAAGTTTGGTGGGAAAAAAAACAGCTGAATAATGGACTTCAAAGATGAGGTGATTTGGCACAGAATATATGCAGTTCCTTAAAAGGGAAAGGTAGGATAGACAGATCCAAAGCTCCCTGGATGACAAAGTAGATTGAATTTAAATTAAAGAAAAAGTGTGTTTAAGACACAGAAAAGTACAGTTGAGAACCATGCTGAATACAGAGGTTTCAGAAGTGAGGAAGCAAATACAAGAAGCACAGAGGTAGAATGAAAAAAGACTGGCAAGTAACAAAAGGAAATCCCAAGTCTTCTTTAAGTACATCTATTGTAAAGACATGGTTAAAGAAGGATTGGGGCCAATTAGGGCCAAAAGGGAGGCTTTACACACAGATGCAGGAAACATAGCTCAGGCTTAACTTAATACTTTGCATCTGTCTTTATCTATGAAGTGGATGCTACACGGGCCATTGTGACTAGAAGGGTTTAAAATAATAAGGATGATGTATAGGATACACTGTCAATATTTAAATTGATAAGAATCTGGGACTAGGTGACATGCATCCAAGGATAGTGAAGGAAGTGAGAAGGAAACTGTAGAAGCACTGGCAATAATCTTTCAATTGTCCCTGGATTCAGAGGTACCAGAGGATTGGTGATTTACAAAGATTGTGCTCTTCTTCAATAATGCTTACAATATTTGGCCCAACAATTACAATCAGTCAGTTTAATTCTAATGGCCTGGAAACTTCTAAAGATAATTATTTGAGATCAGATTAATAGTCAGAAAAGATGAGGATTACTTCAAAAGAGTCAGCATGGATTTGTTAAGGGAAAATTGTGTCGAACTAATGTGAAGTTATTTGAAGAGGTAAGAGAGAGGGTTGATGAAGGAAAGGCTGGTGATCTGGTGTGTGTGGATTTCCAAAAGGCATTCGATATAGTGTCACACAGACATGTGAGGAAAGGTAAAGTCATGGACAGCAGCAAAGTGGATACAAAATTAGCTGAGTGATAAGAAAGAGAGATCAATGTTTATTGGGCACTTTTCAGGATGGACAAAGATTTGTAGAGGAGTTCCCAAGGGGTTGACATTGAGACTCTTGCTTTTCCTGATTTAAATAAATAATCTAGATCTTGGTGCGCAGGAGGTACTTTCAAAGTGTGTGAATAACAGATAACTCAGAAGAATGGTAAACCTTGTGGACAGGGCAGAACATCAAAAGAACTTTGACATGGTGGAGTGGTCGGATAGGTGGCAGATGAAGCTCAATATGGAGATGTGCAAGAATAAAACATAGGGTACTATTCTAAAGGAGCAGAGAGACCTGGGTGCATGTCTACACAAGTTATTAAAGGTGATAGGGCAAATACCGAGAGGTGGTAACAAAGTATACTATGCTTTACTATACATAGAGTACAAGAGCAGGAGGTTATTATTGACTTATATAAGACACTGTTTAGACTTTAGCTGGAATATTGTGCATAGTGATGGGTGCCACACTGTAGGAAAGATATGAATGCATTGGAAATAGCACAGAAAAGAATGAGACACTAAAGCGATGAGGAAAGATTGAAGAACTTGGGGCTGTTTTCCTTGAAGAGGCGAAGGCAAGGAGGAGATTTGATAAAAGTTTTCAAAATCATGAAGGCCCTGGACAAAGTGGACAGGGAGAAAATGTCCTACATTTAAACAGATTGAAAACTGGGGGCACAGCTTTTCCCAAAAAAAAGCATATGTGAGGTGAGAAAAAAAAATATTCACACAGTGAGTAGTTAGTGTATGGAATTAATTGTCTGAAAGTGTGGTGAAGACAGGTTAAATTAAGGCATTCAGGAGAGAACTGGAAGACTATTTAATTAGGAACAAAGTGAATATCTCTAGTCTTTTCCCTGTAATCTTGCACAGAGTTCAAATGTTCAAAGGGTCAGAGTTGACATGATGCTCTGCAACAATTCTGTGATTCTGAGATTGAACAGATCACAATTTCCTTCAGGAAAGGAAACCCAAATCTATACGTGGCCTGGACTGTTTTTTAACTCCCCTCTAAACTGGCCTAGCTAAGTCACTTAGTAATATTGAACTGTCACAAAAAAACTGAATAGGAACAAAATCCAACGACAAACGCAGCATCATACTAGATACTGAGAAACAGAAAGGTGCACTCGTCAGTCAACCCTGCAAAGTCTTCCTCGCCAACATTTGGGAACTTGTGCCAAAACTGGGAGAGCTGTCTCACAGTCCAGTCAAGTAACAACCTGACATATTCATACTCATTAAATCATACCTCACAGGTAATGGACCTCATCCCCATTCTGTGTATGTACTGCCTCAGCAACCTGTGGCAACAGTGCTATGCTACACATTTTGGAATGACTACGAGAATTTTCATTCATAGAAACATTTGTGGAGTGTTGGGATGTCTCCCTTTTGCCTCTTCAAATTTGACTACGATTTTTGTTTGTTTTCCAAAGCATAATATGCCAAATTAATGAGTACCTAACTATTTATGTGCCATGATCATAAAAGGACCAACAAAATATAGGTTTTCTTGAGATTCATAAACAAAGAGGTTAGGATTACCAGACAAACTAATCTAGGTAAAAAATACACCAACTACTGTGTGTGCGTGCACACACAGGTATGACACAAAAACCCATACAGAATTAAAGGCTACAAGAAGTAAGAAGAAATTTTATAGTCTGTAGTTTGGTGATTAGGCTGGCCTGAGGCTATATTTTGTGGTCTTTTAACTTTCCAGCAGTCCCACTATTTCTTGTTCATTTGGGTATTCTTGTAGAGATGGCAATCAACGCAAAGTCAACGTTTCAAAATGAGTTCTGAAGAAGGTCACTTGATCTGAACTGTTAACTCTGTTTCTATCTCCACAGATGCTGCAAACCTGCTGAGTTTCACCCGCAATTTCTGTTTTTGAGAAAGAAAAACTGTTGCAAGTATATGACTGTATTAGATGAAATGACTACCAGTCTTAGAGATGAAGGCCCATCTTCATTCTGAGGATGCCTTCCATCGTGTTGTGTGCATTATCAGTCATCTTAATGGGTCAGATGTAGAACAGATCCAGCAGCTCAAAACTAGGCATCCATAAGATTTGGCAGGCCATCAACAGAAGCAGAGTTATGTCCCACAACAATCTGTAACTGTATAACCAGCATATCCCTCAGTCTACGATTACCATCAACCCAAGGAGCTAAAAGGGCAAATAAGGAGCGTAGGAGCTCATGCCAGAAGCAGCAGCAGCCATTAACTAAAAATTAGGTAACAAACTAGTGAAACTACAACTGGAGAAACCCAGCAGATCTGGCAGCATCTGTGGTGAGACAGGTAGAGTTAATGTTTTGAATCTGGTATAACTCATCTTCAGGACTGAAAATAATCCAGGTATGTTCCATGTTCTGTTTTTGTTTCAAATTT